AATCAAGATTGCCAGGAGAAATATCAAGAACCTGAGATATGCAGGTAACACCACCCTTATGGCAGAAAGTGAAGAACTAAAGAGCCTCTTGATGAAAGTGCTTTCACAAAGAGGAGAGTGAAAAAATTGACTTAAAACTCAACATTCAGAAAACTAAGATCATGGCATCCAGTCCCATCACTTCATGGCAAGTAGATGGGTAAACAGTGGAAACAGTGAGAGACCTTATTTTTTTGAGCTCCAAAATCACTGCAGATGCTGACTTCAGCCATGAAATAAAAGACACTTGCTCCTTGTAAGAAAAGTTATGATCAACTTAGACAACATATTAAAAAGCAGAGACATTACTTTGCCAATAAAATTCCATTTAGTCAAGGCTATGGTTTTTCCAGTGGTCATGTATGGATGTGAGAATTGGACCATAAAGAAAGCTGGGTGGTGAAGAATTGATGATTTGGAACTGTGGTGTTGGAGAAGACTCTTGAGAGTCCCTTGGATGGCAAGGAGATCCAATCAGTCCATCCTAAGGGAAATCAGTCCTGAATATTCATTCAAAGGACTGATGCTGAAGCTCAAAGTCCAGTACTTTGGCCACCTGATGGGAAGAACTGACTCATTGGAAAAGATCCTGATGCTGGGAAAGATTGAAGGCGGGAGGAGAAAGGAATGACAGAGGATGAGATGATTGGATGGCATCACTGACTCAATGGACGTTAGTTTGAGTAAACTCTGGGAGTTTGTGATGGACAGAGAGGGCTGGAGTGCTGCAGTCCATGGTGTTGCAAAGAGTCAGACACGACTGAGCAACTGAACTGAACTGAGACTCACACCTCCCTGAAAACCCTCTTCTCCATAAAGCAGCATCAAACGTTGTAAAAATCAACTTTTTCAGTACTCTAAAAGCTAATAAAAAATATGCCACCACCCATGGACCATTTAATAAAGAAAAATATGTAAAAAGGATTATATACTGTGATGAGGTGTGATTTATATCACATTTAAGAAAACATTGACAAATCCCAAATCATGAAGATTTAATCTTATGTTTTCATCTAAAAGTTTTAGACTTTTAGCTTTTACAGTAAGGTTGTTTGTTTGTTTTTTTTTTTTTTAGGGACTAGTTCTTTATTTCAAAAAGACATTTATCAATTTTCAGTATCAAAACAGTTACACGATTCATTTTTTTTTCCTCCCAGTTGGTCCCCAAAGAGACCACACCAAAGGAGAGAAGATTTTAAGCCGCTTAAGCTGCAGGATGCACACCTAACAGACCTCACTGAAACCTCATCAAAAAAGGGGGACTGGGTAGGGAAAGAAACTTTAAAAGATCAGCACACTGCTAGCCCACAGAATGTAGAGAGCTCTCACAGGCAGAGGGGTGACCAGTGTGCCTCAACCCCAAAGAAGCAAAGTTCCAAAATAATATAAAATCTAAAAAGTTTTGTACATAAGATTTTCAAGATTTCTCCAGCACTGATACAAAGCACAATGAGATGGCACTTTTAGAGACAGCAGCTTCAGACTCAGAAAAGGGTGATGAGATGAATTTCATATGGCTAAATCAGTGGCAAAACATAATTTTCTTTCCTTTCAAGGAGGCAGGAGAGCAATTAAGTGGTCACTTCAACATAAAGGGCACATGATCCATTCTGTGAGCAGTTGGGAACAGGGTAGAGCTGGGACAAGGATTTGGTCTCAGATGTTTCACCATCTTAATTGTTTGGTCACTTCTGATGAAAAAAAAGTTGTCCAAAGATACCGTAAAGCTGAAAACCTGAACAGCACTTTTTTTTTTTTGGGCTAACTCCTCCTGGAATCATCTTTCTGGTTTGGCGGGTACTTTTTACAGAGCAATGAGGTTTCCCCAAATGGAACCTTTCTCTGGGCTGCTAGGCTCTCAGTAAGGCAGGCCCAAACCTTTTCCCTTTCTCTCTGGAGAAGGCAATATGCATTAAGCTGAAATGTTACCTTCCAAAAGTGAGAAAGGGATTAGACTGCTGCTTCAGAACTACGGAATTATCTGGAATGTTTTTTACAAATGGTTGTTACATCAACAGCAAAAAAGGTAATTACAAAATGTGTACATCACAACATGCTTTTAAAGACACTTTGCATTGTGCTCGCATTCCCTTAAACGTTGTTCCCAAAGGTGCTCAGCCTCTAGCCCAACTGGAATCTCTGGGGAGAGGCAGAGACAGTTTGGCGAAAAGGACACAGGAGTAAGAGGGTGGGAGAGGTGGCGAAAGGAGAAAGCAGCCTTCCAGTTAAAGATCAGCCCTCAGTTTAAAGGTCAGCTTCGGGCAGGCTGGCCTCAGCGGAGTCGGGGTGAGAGGGAGGAGCAGCGGCAGGGCGGGACTGGGGTGTTCTACATCTCATTCAGGTCAAGCAGAGTCTGGTCCAGCATCCTTTGTGTACAGAGGTGCTCCTCTTTGGTGCATTTCAGTTTATCTTCCAAATCGTCAATTGTCTTTTCCAGCTTGGCTACCGATCTCTCAGCAAACTCAGCACGTGTCTCTGCCTCCTTGAGTTTATCGGTAAGAATCTTTATCTCTTCCTCATATTTGTCTTCTTTTTGAGAGTACTTTTCTTCAGCAGCACTCAGACACTTCAGGTTCTGGTCCATCAGTCTGATTTGCTCATCCATCTCTCGGCAACGGGACTCTGCCAGCTCGGCCCGCTCCTCTGTGCGTTCCAAGTCTCCCTCAATAATCACCAACTTACGAGCCACCTCTTCATACTTCCGGTCTGCCTCTTCTGCAATGTGCTTAGCTTCTTTGAGTTGGATTTCCTGGAGTTCCATTTTTTCTTCATCTTTTAAGGCTCGGTTTTCAATAACCTTCATACCTCTCTCGCTCTCATCAGCAGCTTTCTCAGCTTCCTCCAGCTTTTGCAGGGCAGTGGCCAGGCGCTCTTGAGCTCGGTCCAGCTCCTCTTCAACCAGCTGGAACCTGCGGTTCAAGGAGGCCACCTCAGCCTCAGCCTGTTCTCGGGCCCGCCTTTCCCCCTCCACTTCCCGCTGGAGGCGCTCGGCCCTCTCCTCTGCATCATCGGCCTGCTGCTGCAGAACCTGGATCTTGCGCTTCACCGCCTCGATGGTGGTGATCCCAGCCACGGTCCCCATCCAGCTGCTGCTTGCCTTCGGGGTCCTGCCTCCTCCGCTCGGAGTTGCAGCCGCTTCTCACCCCTACTTCCGCCTGCTCCGCCCTGAAATACTGTAGACAGTTAGGTTTTTATAATAATTTTGAGCTAATGTTTGTGTGCCAGCACCACACTGTCTTTGTATAATTTTGTAGTTTTAAAATCAAATCAAGAAGTATGAGTCCTCCAATCTTGGGTTTTTGAAAAAATTATTTTTTCAGTTCTGAATCCTTCAATTTTTGTATAGATTTTAGGATCTGCATCTTGAATTATGAAAAAACAAGCAGCTAGAATTTTGATAGAAATTTTATTGATTCTATAGATCAATATGGAGACTATTGCCATCTTAACAGTATTGAGTCTTCTGATCAATGAACATTGGATGTTTTTATATTAACATTTATTTAGAAATTCTTTAAACTCTTTCTAGAAGGCTTTATGGTTTTCAGTGTACAAAGCTTCCACTTCTATTTAAGTGTTTTATTCTTTTGATGCTACTGTAAATGGAATCATTTTATTAATTTTACTTCAGTTGTTCAGTACTTCATATTTTCCAGTCTGGATACCTTTTATTTCTTTTCTTGCCTAATTTCCTTGGCTGGAGCATCCAGCAAAATGATGAATAGAAGTGACAGTACTGACAATCCTACGTGCAGGGCAGCAAAGAGACACAGATACAAAGAACAGACTTTTGGACTCAGTGGGAGAAGGCAAGGGTGGAAGTTGAGAGAGTAGCATTGAAATGTGTACATTACCATCTGTAAGATGTGTGACCAATGCAAGTTCGATGCATGGAGCAGGTCACCCACAGCTTGGTGCCCTGGAACAACCGAGATGGATGCAGGAGGGAGGGAGATGGGAGGGGGTTCAGGATAGGGGACACATGTATACCTGTGGCCGATTCATGTTTGATGTATGGCAAAAACCATCACAATACTGTAAAGTAATTATCCTCCAATTAAAATAAATTAATTGAAAAAAAAATAAAGAAGTGGTGAGAGCAGACAGCTTTGTCTTGCTCCTCATCTTATGGAGAAAGCACCCAGTAAGTCATTCACCATTAAGTAGGATGTTCACTGTAGGGGTTTTGCACACAGTTTTGATCACATTGAGGAAATCTTTTGTATTCTAGTAGGTCAGGAAGCAACAGTTAGAACTGGACATGGAACAACAGACTGGTTCCAAACAGGAAAAGGAGTACATTAAGGCTGTATATTGTCACCCTGCTTATTTAACTTATATGCAGAGTACATCATGAGAAANGATGCTGGGAGGGATTGGGGGTAGGAGGAGAAGTGGATGACAGAGGATGAGATGATGGCTGGATGGCATCACCGATTTGATGGGCATGAGTTTGAGTAAACTCCAGGAGTTGGTGATGGACAGGGAGGCCTGGCATGCTGCAATTCATGGGGTCGCAAAGAGTCGGACACGACTGAGCTACTGAACTGAACTGAACTGAGGCTTCTATAGGAAGTCTTCTATATTCTGCTAGTTTATTGAATATTTTATTATGAAAAGGTATTGATTTTTTAAAATGGTTTTCTGTATTTATTGAGATTATAACGTAGACTTTGTTCTTAATCTATTAATATGTTTTATAAAATTAATTGATTTTGGAGTACTAATTTGACCTTGCATTTCTGGCATAAATCCCACTTGGTCATGGAGTATACACCTTTTCCTTTGTTGCTAGATTCAGTTCGATAGTATTTTACTGAGAATGTGTATAAATAAATATATAGATAGCTACATAGTGGCATGGGGATCTTAGTTCCCCAAGCAGGGGTTGAACCCATGCCCCCTGCATTGGAAGCACAGAGTCTTAACCACTGGACCACCAGGGAAGTCCGTTTACTGAGAATTTTTATGTATATATTTTATGAGACAATAATCTGTAGTTTTCTTGTGATGATATTTTCTGTCTTTGGTATCGGGGAAATACCTCAAAGAATGAATTGAGAAGTATCCCCTCCTCTTCTATTTCTGGAATAATTTGTGAATAATACTAATTCTTCTTTAAATTTCTGGTGGAATTTACCATTGAAGTCACCTGTGTTGTGCCAAGTCACCTCAGTAGCGTCTGATTCTTTGGAACCCCGTGGACTGTATCTCCCAGGCTCCTCTGTCCATGGGGTCCTCCAGGCAAGAATACTGGAGTGGGTTGCCATGCCTTCCTCCAGGGGATCTTCCTGACCCAGGGATTAAACCTGCATCTCTTGTCTCCAGCATTGGCAGGCAGGTTCTTTACCACTAGTGCCACCTGCGAAGTCAACTAGTCCTAGGCTTTTCTTTGTGGAAAGTCTTAAAAATCACTACTCCAATCTTTAGTAATGGATCTAATCAGACATTCTCTTTCTCCTTGAGTCTGGGTTCTCTGTGCCTTTCTCAGAGCCTGTCCATTTCACTTATATTATCTCATTTGCTGAAATGCCATTGTTCATAGTATTCCCTCATAAACCTTTTTTTTTTTTTTTTTGGTAAATCATTCCAGATTCTTTTTTTTTTTTTCCCACTGTCAGTCTAGTTAAAGATTTGTCAATTTTGTTGGTATTTTCAAAGAACTAACTTTTGGTTATTTTCTCTATTTTGTATTCTATTCTTTTATTTTACTGATTCACTGTAATCTTTATCAACTCCTTCCTTTTGTTTATTTTGGGTTTAATTTATTTTCTTTCCTATTGTTAAAGGTCATTGTTGATTTGAGAATTTTCTATTTCTTCATGTAGGTATTTGAAGTTATAAAGTTACTTTTAATACTTGCTTTAACATATCATGTTTTGATGTGTTATGATGTTTTATGATGTTTTCATTTATCTCAAAGTATTTTCTAATTTACCTTGTCATATTTTCTTTGACCCACTGGTTACTTGCTTTCCATATATTTATGACTTCACCCATTTGTTATTTACTTCCTATATATTTGTAAATTTCTGAGATTTTATTCTATTATTCATTTCAGATTTAATTCCATTTTGGCTAAAGGGTATCATTGATATGATTTCAATTCTTTAAATTTATTGAGGTTATTTTTTGACATCACATGTGGTCTATTCTAGAGAACATCCCATGTGTTCTAGAGAAAAATGTGTATTCTGCTGTTGTTGGACAGAGCATTCCATAGACCTGAGGTCTAGTTGGTTTATGGTATTGTGCCAGTCTTGTTTGTTATTGTTTATCTTCAACTATATCTATTACTGAAATGGATTATTAAAGTACTCTTCTTGCCATTGTTATTGTCTATTTCTCCTCTTCAATTCTGTCAATTCTTGCTGCATGAATTTTGGACTATGTTTTCAATGGATATATGTTCATAATGAATTGCCTCTTTTATAATTTTTGAATGTCCTTCTTTATCTCTAGTAATATTTTAACATGCATTTTGTCTGGTATTGGTATAGCTACTCCAGTTCTTCTGTGGTTTTCTTGGTGTATGTTTTTCTACATCCTTTTACTGCTTGTATCTTTTAATTTAAAGGGTGTCACTTGGGGACAGTAAGTAGTAGGATCTTTGTTTTGTTTTATCTAGTCTGATAATGCCTGTGTTTTAATTATGTTTTAACCATTCATAATCTTTCTGTTATGATACTGCAAAAATTACTGTGACACAGAGACATAAAATGAGCAAATGCTGTTGGAAAAATGGTACTAATAAGACTTTCTTGGCACTGGATTGCCACAAACCTTCTATTTGTTTAAAAAAAAAGAAAAGAAAAAGAAAAATCTGCAAAACATAATAAAGTGAGGCACAGTAAAATGAGATATGCCTGTATAAATCTCATCAAAGTGGACTCCAGATTTATATTAACTTAAATCAGGAATATATAGAAACTTTACTCCTTTATAGTTCTCTTTCTCCCCCCTTTTGTTGTATTATTACTGTGCATATTGCATGTGTCCTAGGTTGCTTCAGTTGTGTCTGACTCTTTGCGACCCTATGGACTGTGACCCACCAGATTCCTCTGTCCGTGGGATTCTCCAGGCAAGATTACTGAAGTGGCTTGCTCTGCCCTCCTTAAGAGGATCTTCCAGACCCAGGGATTAACTTGAGCCTCTTACGTCTCCTGCATTGTCATTGGCAGGCGGATTCTTTACCAGTAGTGCCAGTTAGGAAGCCTGCATGTGTGTGTGTGTGTGTGTTACAAACCCAATAACACATTGCTATAATTATTAATTTACATAATTGATGTCCTTTAAAGAATCTTAGGGAAGAAAGAAGAGCAAGCATATAGTTATTGTTCAGTCAGTTCAGTTCAGTCACTCAGTTGTGTCCCACTTTTCATGACCCTGAGGACTGCAGCATGCCACGCTTCCCTGTCCATCACCACTCCCAGAGCTTAGTCAAATTCACGTCCATTGCATCAGTGATGCCATCCAACCATCTCTTCCTCTGTTGTCGCCTTCTCCTCCCACTATCAATCTTTCCCAGGATCAGGATCCTTTTCAGTGAGTCAGTTCTTTTCATCAGGTGGCCAAAGTATCGGAGTTTCAGCTTCAGCATCAGTCCTTCCAATGGATATTCAGGACTGATTTCTTTAGGATTGACTAGTTGGATCTCCTTGCAGTCCAAGGGACTCTCAACAGTCTTCTCCAACACCACAGTTCAAAAGCATCACTTCTTCTGCATCCAGCTTTCTTTAGAGTCCAACTCTTACATCCATGGGAGAAGGCAATGGCAACCCACTCTACTACTCTTGCCTGGAAAATCCCATTGACAGAGGAGCCTGGTAGGCTGCAGTCTATGGGGTCTCGAAGAGTCGGACATGACTGAGCAACTTCACTTTCACTTTTCACTTTCCTGCATTGGAGAAGGAAATGGCAACCCACTACGGTGTTCTTGCCTGGAGAATCCCAGGGATGCAGAAGCCTGTTGGGCTGCCATCTATGGGTTTTCATGGAGTCGGACACGACTGAAGTGACTTAGCAGCAGCAGCAGCTCACATCCATACATGACTACTGGAAAAACCATATCTTTGATTATATGGACCTTTGTTGTCAAAGTAATCGCTCTGCTTTGTAATATGTTGTCTAGGTTGGTCGTAGATTTTCCTCCAAGGAGCAAGTGTCTT